TCAACTTCTGACCAGTTGTTCAATCCCCTTACCGTCTATGAGCTGAAAGCTCCAGAAACAGCCACTGCCGCTGCCGATTCAGTCACTCTCAAGGCCTGCTGCTATTTTGCTGGGGCTGGGGCTGTGCTGGTGCAGCCTGCACTGGACTGTGCTCCACTCTCACCCAGGTGCGACAGACACTTCCTGCTGACCTTCCAGGTTGTCTTTGGTGTCTGTGGGCTGAGAGGTCTGGAAACCGCCACAGCTGCTGGTGATTCAGTCACCCCATGGTCTGCTCCAAGCTTGCTGGGGCTGGGTCTGTGCTGGCGTGGCCTGTGTTGAACCGCATTCCTCTCTTACCCTGGTGCAACAGACCTTTCCTACCAACCCCCCCACCCAGTTGTCTTGGGCTGGAAACCTGCTTCACTCCATCTTTTTGTGGACTCTGCTGCTCCAGAATTTGTTTAGATTCATTTTTAAAGGTATTTGAAGGGGTTTAAGGGAAACCTCAGCCAAGTCCCTGCCTTTACTCCACCATCTTGGCTCTGCCCACTACCTAAAAAGATTCAAACCGGTTCAGTTTGAAAATGTCAAAGCTCCTGTGCTGGAATCAGGCCTAAGAGTGGCCACTGCATTTCCACTGGGGCAAGATATGGATGCTCAAAAAAATTATGATCATAAAACAAATTTTAAAAATAAAAAATCTTTGTCATAAGAAATGGCACTCTGGGAGGGGAAAAGGAAGTGATGTGGGGAGAATCTAGGCAATGTAAAAACAAAGGCTATCAATAATATATATATATATATTTTTTTTTTTTTAAAAAGAAAGAGAACTAGGTATTTAAGGGAACTTGCACACAGAGTATTAAACAACATTTTGATGTGGTCAAAAAAGTCAATGCTGTCTTAAAGTTACAAATGCATTAATATCTAGAACAAGAGAGATTAAAGTCATGCTGTGCTAAACCTGAATCTGGTCACCAGGCTATATAATCCATGAGAATAAAGGCTGTGTCTTCTCTGGAAGCTGTATGCTCTGCACAGAGCAGGTGCTAATTAAACTTACTGAATTAACCAATGCTTTGGTTAAACCACATCAGAAGTATAGTACTCCTTTCTGGGAACCACATTTTTGGGGGAACACTAATAAGTTTCACAGAAGCCCTACTTTGATGCCTCATCATGGTCATGGAGCAACTCTGGGTTCAAGGTTCTACCACGTTGAAAGGCTTCAAATAAGCTTTTAAAAATAGACTATGAAGTCTGTCTAACTAGCTGCAGAGGGGTTCATCTCTAATAGGTTGGCCACCAAATGATAAATTCTTTGGTACTATGCATCTGGGGATGCAAAGAAAGGTAAAAACAGTCTCTGCCCTTTTAGAAGCTTACATTATATATGTGTTTCATATTTACTATTTACATATAATCTACATGCTTTTGCACACTAACATATAAATAACTAGATACATACCATATATGCATAGAGTAGTTGATAATATGTAGCAGGAAGGAGTTTAGGAGAAACACTAGAAGCATATATAAATATCTGGTAGTCATCTGTATAGAAATGACCATTTAACTCATGGAAATTGATAAGAACACCAACAAAGAGAGGAGAGAAAAAAGCAAGCCCAGAATGGAGCTTTAGGAACATCCATACTTTTATGGGCAAAAGGATAATGGTCAAGTAAGGAAGTGGAAGAGTGATCAAACAGGTAGGAGGAAAACCGAGGAAGAACAGTGTCACAAGTCAGATGAGAAAGTATCCAGAAGCAGGGGGCAGTTGGCAGTGTCAAAATGCAAGGAAGGCCCAGAAGGATGAGGAATGAGAAGCAGAAACTCAGCAAGCAAGAGTTTGTTGATCACTCCAAAGGGATAAATGACCTAGATATAAAAGGTCATATCATAAACAAATTAGAGGAGCATGGATGAAATTAGCTTGTGGATCTATGGATAAGGGAAGAGTTCATAACCAAATGAAGGATGGAGGGAATCACAGGAGATTATGGGATAATTTTGATTACATAAAATTTTTAAAGTGTCACACAAACAAATCCAATGTAGCTAAGATTAGAAAGGAAACTATTAAATGGGGGGAAAAAATCTTTGCACCAAGTTTCTCTGATAAAAGTCTTATTTCTGAGATATTCAGGGAACTGACTCAAAATGCTAAGAACTAAAAGCCATTCCTCAATTAATAAATGGTCAAAAAATATAAATAGGCAGATCTCAAGGGAAGAAATCAAGATATTTATGATCAATATTTTCTTAAATGCTCCAAGTCATTAACAGAGTAATGCAAATTAAAGCCAATCTGAAGTTCCATCTCACACCCCTCAAGATTGGCAAAGCTTACCAAAAAAAACCTGACAAATGTTGGAGGGACTTCAGAAAAACGGGACCAGTAATGCACTGTTGGTGGAGCTGTGAATTAGTATAGTCATTCTAGAAATCAATTTGTAGCTAGGCTCAAAAAGCTATTAAATTGTGCATACTCTTTGACCCAGTATGAGGCCTATACCTTAAAAGAGGAAAATGACCCAGATGTATAAAAATATTTACAGCAGCTCTTTTTGTGGTGGCAAAGTTCTGGACACTAAGAAAGTGCCCATCAATTGAGGAATGGCTAAACAAATTATGGCATGTGAATGCAACTGGTACTATGGTGCTGGAAGAAAAGACAAAGGAGACAGTTAAAGGGAAATTTAGAAATACTTCTATGAACCAATGCAGAGTGAAGTGAGCAAAACGAGAGATCCATTTATACTATAACAACATTACAATACACAACAATTTTCAAATTCTTAAGAATTCTGATCAACACAGTAATAAACTATGATTCCAGAGGCGAAGGATGAAGAATGCTACCCACATCCTGACAGAGAGTTAGGTGATGGAGTAAATGTGCATAATGAGATATATTTTTTTGACATAGCCAATATGGAAATTTGATTTGCTTGACTATGCGTATTTGTTACAAGGTTTTTTCCCTCTTTTTTCCCCTGTAGAGGCGGGAGTAGGAACAGAAGAAAAATGACTGCTTATTAATTGAAAAAAAAAAAATTTAAGGGCTTGTAGATCATTTGTTTTGGAGAAGAAAACAGCAAGCCACTCCAGTATCTTTGCCAAGAAAAACCCAAATGGGGTCATAAAGAGTCAGACACTACTGAACAACAAAAAAAGGATAACTTGTTGGAAATGTAATAAAGGAAATTCCTCTTCAGGTATGAGTTAGACTAGATGATATCTGAGCTCCCTTCTAACTCTATGATTCTATAGCTCAAGGCTTCTAAAAGATAATTATTTTAAAGTAATTCCTATCACACCTACAATCTTTGCCAGATGTATTCTATACCCTACCCCCTCAGAGTATTAAGATAAAATTTAAGAGTGAAAATTTCTCAGCTTTCACTCAATATGTGCTTTCAGGCCTTGGAATTGTTTGACACGGGAGACACTGGCACAGGACCACGCAGCATGGCATGCCCACATCAGAGAAGGTGCTGTGCTCTATGAGCAAAGTAAAATTCAAGTACCTCGAAAGAAACATAAGATGTGCAAATTTAGAGAATACACTCCAAATGTTCACATGGACTATTTGTACCCAACTTGTGGTGGGACATTCCAAGCTCATATTGGTCTGATCAGCCACAGTCCAGACACACTGAAATTTGACTCTAGCATTCTTATGTCATTTTGGTCCTCTTCAAGAACAAAGGTTGACAACAACCAATCAACCAACCAACTTTGGACTGATTTTGTCTTTCTTTGTAACCCTAGAACTAAGAATAGACCCTGGCACATGCTAAGAGCTTAATAAATGCTTTTTTTAAGTGATTGAAATAAATTGAATCGTATCTGTCACAATTTCCTGTATGACAGGAGAAGGTACTATAAGCAGAAATAATTTATCTAAGCTAAAATAGAAGGTGCATTTTATCCATTGTTGTCTTTTAAGTCTTTACAGTATGACATGATAGAATGATAAACAAAAAAAAAACCCCAATGATTTCTAACTGATGAAAATACATTATCAAGATTTTCTAATTCATTTAAACAGATTTTCACCTAGATTATTTACCTAAATTAGTTTTCCTAAGATTTGTAAAGATTCAAAAATTAAGACTCTACTTCACTCTTTTCTCAATTGACATCCTAACAATGCCTTCATGGGACTAATGATTTTAGCAAACTGTTTTAACTGTATTTTGAAATAGGTGTATAATCTAGAAGGCAAATTTTGAAGTGAAGAAAATGTGAAAATAACTAGTGTAGGTTAGTTTGTTTAAAATGAGAACAAAATTTTCTACTTCCATGAAAAGTTTTTTCCACCATATCTAGAATTTTTTAAAAGTACAAAATTACACATTTTTAAACTGTTTGAAAAGTGTGTTTTTGTCACCATTTTTTTTATTTTTCTGAGTAGCATACATTTGCTTTATTTCTTATGTTACCATCATTTGGAACTAAACATAGAGGTTTTTTTTGGCTTTAACTGCTATAGTATACATACATACATTCTGTCAAGCTACCCATATGTGCTGCAAAGCCTAACAAGTGCCCATACACAAAACAGGAAATAAAAAGCATTGATTTTCCCTCTTCAATCAATTCCTCTGACTTCTCTAAACAAACAATAATGTTCTCAATGGGAGCATATCTGTAAAAGAAAGTAACTTTCCTTCAGAAACTCTAAGTGGTTCTTGCTACAGAGTGACAGCTAACTGAAGAAAATAAACTTTATTTTTAAAAATATACAGGTAGGAAAAAAAGGTCCATTTGTACAAACAAGTGGCTAGTTTTTATTTCTTTTCATTTTATTTTATTTCCTGCTTTTAAGCAAAAAAGGCAACATATGTCCTATGTAACAAAACAGTTGGGCAAGATTCTAAAATATTACATCACAAATTAATCTACATTATATCTTAAATGAAACTACTTTAAACAACTTTCTTTCTTACTAACCTAGGAAAACCACTGTAAAAATGAAATGATATTAAAATGCTGCTTATATCTATTACCCAGAACTCCTGTGGCAGCACTGTCCAAAGTTCCTCCATGACCAATTTTTAATGCCTGTTTCTTCCTCTTGTTCCCATCTTGAGGAGGCATACCAGCTTCTATTAAAGAAAAATGAATGAAAAAAGTAATCACCCACTGTATCTTCAAATAAAGCGAGATAGCCCCCTAATTAATACAAACAAGTTGTTTTAAAAACACACACACAATTAGATTATCATAACAAGAATATAATTAATGCTACTAACAAAAGATTATGACAAATACAAGAGAAAGGCTACCAAATTAAAATGAGTTATATGCCAAAAGCTCACTTGTAAAATCAGTTGTTTGAACCTAAGAACACATTTTTTCTAAAGAAACAATGTTGTAAAGAGTTGTTTGGTTTCCAGATTATTCCACAAGTCTATTTAACATAATATGGAATTAAGGACATATGCCAAGGTGAACCTTGTTGTTCTCTAAAATAACATGGTTAATGTATTCCAACATAAGGTCACAAAAGACTGGTATAATATCATGGGGGCGACAGCCAATTTATAACTGCCCCTATTACATGAATTTGCCTAATATACTACAAATTAACAAAGGGCTGAGTTTGCCAAGTCTTCTAGAACTAGCTGTGTTTGGAGTTCTGAGAGTAGGGAGGGGGGGTCATCATACCCCAAAAGGAAAAGCAAGAGTTTTTTTTGTCAGTCCTATGAGAAAAATCTGTCAAAGTTTGTCTTTGATAGCCTCCAACTACATATCCTTCTCCACAAACTTCCAAGTGCCAAGTATCTTCGTAGACCTAAGTCCTATATCTACTTCTCCTCTAAGCCCAAAGTATTCCAGACTCCCAAAGTATTTGTCTCCTTTCCCTAAGTAATCAATAAATTAATCTCAGTGCAAAGGATTCAGCTACAGGTTAGAAGAAAACTGAGACTGGTTTAATTCACATTCACATGGCCTTCCTAACTACACATTTTCTTAAATGTGTATCTTCCGACATGTTGGCTTAACTAGTAAAACATAATCTTGAGGGCAAGTACTGTTTTTTGCTTTTTTATAGGAGCTTAATTAATGCTAATTGATTGTTCAACCATTCCCCAATTGACAGGCATCTATTTTGTTTCTGTTTTTTTTCTCTCACAAAAAGTCGTACTATAAATATTTTGGCATATATGGGATCTTTCTGCTTTTTCTAAGGTATAAATCCAGGAGAGGTCTGTCTAGATTAAAGGATATGAACAGTTTAGTGATTTTTCTTAATTAATTACAAAACGTTTTCTAGAATATTTGGCCCGTCCCAACTCCACCAATAGTATATTAGTGTGGTAGACCTTTTCTAGTCCTTCTAACATTGACTATTTCTCTCTCTTAACAATTTGATGCATGTGCAGTGAAAGCTCCCATATACGCCAGGATATTTACAACAACACTTTTTACAGTAGCCAAAAACTGGAAACAAAGTAGGTACTCATCAACTGAAGAGTACTAAACAATTTGGGGTACATAAAAGTAATAGAACATTATTGCCCTGTAATAAATTATTAGAAATAGAGACACAAGGGGAGGAACACTTACATGAACTGACACAAAATGAAGTAAGCAAAACCAGAGTAACCATATATAGGACTATGACAATATAAAAGGAAAGCATAACAAAATAGACGAAATTAAATGCTGTGCAATTACAATGACTTAAACTTTTAATCCCAAAGATAAAAATACACCTCCCCCACTTCTTTGCAAGGGAAGGGACTATAGGTGTGGAACTCTCAATTTAACTTCAAATGTGGTTGTGTTAGCTTTGCTTGCTGGTTTTGTTTTCTCATTTCTGTTTTTTATAAAGGAAGGTTGACTGGATGGCTTCTAAAGTTCCTTCCTGATCTAGATCAATAATCTTATTAATTGGATGGCTACCCAGGAGAAGGAATATACTGGGAAATGTAAATGATCCAAAACCAATAGATAGCAATAAGAATTGTTTAAAAAAAAAAGAAAAGGCATTGATGGAAGAATTCTTAACCAAACATGACTTAAGAGAGAGCATTAAAGAGGTAACAATTTTAACTTCATAAAATTAAATAAAGCAGAGGCATTGTAGAGTGTATAGCAAACAAGGCTTGAAATCAGGAAGACTTGGGTTCAAGTTCCACCTCTTCTAACACCACTGGTTGAGAGAGCCTGAGGAAGTCATGTCCTACAGGAATTCAGGAGACTGGTTGGTCCAATACGACTTGATAGGGAAGGAGGAAGTGTACTGAAAAGAACACTGGACTAGTCAGGATACCTAGTTCTTTCTAGTCCTGTGAATTCACTCTCTTTACTGCTTTCAAAATGCTTCAATTGTTTTATCACTGCCTAAAGAATCAAGTCTGAAGTTCTTGGCCTGGAATTTAAGGACCTCCAGTTGGCCACTGAGGCAGCTAGATGGCAAAGTGGATACCACTTAGAACTGTCTATGAAAAGAGTGCTGGGCCTGAAGTCAGGAAGATTCCATCTTCCTGAGTTCAAATCTGCCCTCGGACACTTACTAGCTATATGATCCTGGGCAAGTCACTTAACCATGTTTGCCTCAGTTTCCTCATCTGTAAAATGAGCTGGAGAAGGGAGTGGCAAACCACTCTAGTATCTCTGCCAAGAGAACCCCATATGCCACAAAGAGTCAGACATAACTGAAATGACTAAACAACAGCAGCAGCAACAACAGTTGACCATCACCTGTCTTCAATCAACCTTTCCTGCCTGGCCTCTTAATATTCCCCTTTCCCTAAGAACATGATTTATGTAGCTCTTTAAAGTTTACAAATTGCTTTCCTCCCCACATAAGGTAGTTAAGTAATACCAGTATTATTCACTCCCATTTTTCAGAGGAATAAGCTGAGGATCAATGAAGTCCAGTAATCTGTCTAAAATCACACATGCCTAGTGAAGGTTGGAGCCTAGCTATCACATCAGATTTTCTAACTCTTTCCATCACACCATTTAGTTCAGACTTTCCGAGTTCTTTGCCATTGTTCACACCATTTCCCATGCCTAGAACGCTCTATTCCCCTTTCCCATTAATCATTGTAATCATTCATACCCATCGTTTAAGGTTTAGCTTAAAAGGACTACCCAAGTTCATGCTAGCTATTCCACTTACCACCTGACCTAAGACAAGTCACTTAATCTTTGTTCCTCGGCTTCCTCGTCTGTAAAATGAAGGAGTTAGACCAGATGACCTCTGAGATCCTTTTCATTTCTAAATTTATGATCCTATGAAGTATCATCTCTTCCATAAAGCTTTCCCTGATCCTTTTAACCCAGACAGAAGTAATCTCTGCCTCTGAACCACTTTTTTTATACCTCTCATATACTTATCACACTCTATTTTGTTTTGATCTGGACCTATGCTTTCAAATTTGTGGGAAATTTCCAGTACTGAAATTCCCTTCACTGATGCAGACTGGCAACCCATCTGTAACTTAACAGTTTTAGATCACTGAATGCAGCACTGATGAGTTAAGTCACTTGTTTATGGTTACATAGCTAATATATATCAAAGGCAGGACTTGAAACCCGGTCCTTCTGATTCCAAAACTGGCTTGTTAGCCATAACAGGATGCCCTACTTTGTGTTATAAGTCCATAAACATTAAATGATAGTATGTACTCGGCACCGTACAAGGTGCTGAGGGGCATGAAAAAAATGAATGTGTGAACATGTGCTTCTGGCTCTCAAAAAACTTATCACCTAATAGGGGAGCAATGGGGATCTTTAGGAGATATTGGGTCCCGCCTTACTAAAAATTTTCAAGCTCGAAGTCCCACTTGTCAGGGATACTGGAGAAGGGATTCTTGCCCTGATGTGGGTTGACCTAAATTCGCCTCTTAAGTGTTTCAACTCAAAGATTCTGCAATTCTGATTCTGAAACTGCTTAAAAATAAATCTACAAAGCAGAGTGCAAAAGTATATTAAAGGTTCAAAGTGCTAAGATAATATCCATGACTTAGCTCCACCCTACCTTATAAAAACCTTGAGAACAAGGACTGCCTTATAATTTGATTCTCTCCTCATATTTAGCACACAGAAATGTACTAAGTTAGTAATCTTTGATAAGACTAGAATGGTACTGTGAAGGCGGATTGTAGAGGGTCTCATATCCAGACAAACAACGTTACCATTAAAGGTTGTACAAAGTGATACAAGAACCATGTGTAGGGGGCAGCTAGGTGGTGCAGTGGATAGAGCACCAGCCCTGAAGTCAGGACCTGAGTTCAAATCTGACCTCAGACCAAACATTTGACACTAGCTGTGTGACCCAGGGCAAGTCACTTAACCCCAATTGCCTAAAAAAAAAAAAAAAAAGAACCATATGGAATACCACTCAGAACTGCCTATGAAAAGAATGTTAGTGTTGGGGCCTAGAGTAAGAAAGAACCACGTTCAAATCTGTATGAACCTGGGCCAGTCACAGTAACCTGTCTCAGATTCAAATTTCTTATCTGTAAAATAGGGATAGTAATGGTACCTAACTCTCTCAGAGTTGTTAGGTCCAAATGAGACATATATAAAGTGCTTAGAAGACCTTCAAGCACTATATAAATGTCAGCTATTATTTTAGGGATAATCTCAAGGAAAGCAATTACGATCTTCTCCCAAAGTGCTTTGTAAACGAACTATACAGGGGTATGGACAATATTACTATATTGTGCAATAGGGGGCCATGAGTTTGAGCCATTACGGTATTTATGAAGTTTTTATGGTGTTTATGCAGCCAGAAAAAAATAGGTTCTATGAAAAATGATGGCAGACGCACAGGCCTATCTGGAATATTGTACAACATGGGTCCATAAATTTGACCCATAATGGTAATTATCGAGTTTTTACAATGTTTATGAGGCCAGCAAAAGAAAAACAAATTCTATGAAAAATGCCAGATGCACAAGACTAAAAGTCTTATATCTATTGGAAATAATAGTATCTACAATCCGAACTAAGCGGAAACAAAGTTTGTTCTTTGAGCAGGTGGCAACACTAATTACCAAAAGCCACAGGCTCTACTGGAGTAGACAGAAAAGGAAAGTGTGAACGAGATTGTAAAAACTACAGGTTCTTAGACACTGCCCGCACTCTCAAACCGCCTAGGATACAAAGGATCGTTCTCTGGGACCAGGGTACCCGTCCTGCCTGCCGCCCTAGTTTCCATCTCCATTCATTTCGAGGTCCTTCTCCTTTCGTGTTTTGTTTTGTGTGTTTTTTTCTTTGTCTCCGTGCCAGGGCCGCCAGGGGGCCGGTCACCACAGCGGCTCCCCGAGGCGCGCTTGGAGAAAGGGTTAAACTAGGAAAAGCCCGGTTCCCGCCTCCGCCTGCCCCTCACGCCGCCGCCGCCGCCGCCGCCTCGCCTCGCCTCCACCACCGCCGCCGCCGCCGTTGCCTCGCCTCGCCTCGCCTCGCCCGAGCCCCGGCTGCGCTACCTGCCAGGAGCTTCTCCTTCAGCTGGTTCAGGAGCTCGGCCGAAGTGGGGCCCTTGGGCTTGTACACGGCGAACACTCCGCTCAGGGACAGCAGTTTGGTGGCCGCCGCCGATCGGGCGGCCCCCGCTCCTCCCGCCGCGGCCGTTGTGGCGGCCGCCGGCTCCCTCGCGGCAGCCGAGGCCGCCGCCGCCGTCGTCTTCTTCCCCCCAGCGGACGGCACCGCGGCCTTGGCTGAGACCGCCGCCGACGCGGCCGTCCCCGTGGTGGCTGCTTTCGCCGCCTCTTCGGCCCTTTCTGTCGCTGTCGCCACTGTCGTCGCTGCTGCCACCGCCTCGCAGGCGGCCATCATGCTCCAACCGAAACCTTTTCCTCCTTAAGTGAGGAGCGCAGGCTGATGACGCGACCCAGAGAGCGACACGCCCACCGCTAACTGAATTACTGGGGCTTCGACAAAAAAATTGTAGCCCTTCGCCTTCCCCGGAGGACCGTGGGCGCAGAGGCTGCTGGAAGTTGTAGTGCGTATTCCCGAGACCTCGCTGCTTGCTTCCCCGGCGGAGGGGAGGTGAAGAAGGGCTCGGCTCGGGTCGGCCGCCACGAACGCCGGGGTGTGCTGGGAATTGCAGTCTCCCCACCACCTGGCTCCGTTTGGCGGGAAAACGCATGGAGCAACCTGTGGGAAAAGCTCTCCCTCTCCTTTTCCCTTAAGATACCCTGTTTTTCCACCTCGTAATCAAGCTTCATACGTCAGTCCATTCATTATTCCTGCAGACGCTACTAGACTTTTGTCAAAGGCTTTGACATGGTCACAATGATAAATGAGCTAATAATAATATAAATAATAATATACAATAAAACTATTAATAACTATTCATAAAATAAAAATAGTTGTTTCCCCAAAACAGATTGGCATATCTACTTTAGATTTTTTTTAATTGTTTAATTTTTGGCGGCTTTAAATTTTGACTCATGATTTCACGTGTATAATTAATATCTTGCTTGCTCTCTCAATGGATGGGGGGAGACTGGAGGAAGGGAAAGAATTTAGAGCTAAAAATTTTTTTTTAAATGTTGAAAAATATTTTTTAAAACTAAAAAAAATTTTGACTCAAAATGTAAAGACCGGAGCAGTGAAGGTGACAGGCTAAGTATTTTGGAGATAAATTTTCCCCAAAAGTTCTGTGAACCCTTAGGATTTTGTGCATTTGTGGTTCAGTAGTCTCAGGGCAGTTTCCTTTTATAAACATTAATTAAATCTGTAGGCACTATGTGCGCGCCCAGTGCTAACATTGGGAAAGGGAAAACAGTCAAAGAGCTAACAGTCTTATAGGGGCTGCCAACATCAATCAATCAACATTTGTCAGCTATTATGACCAGGCATTTTTATTAAAGCTGGAGAAAGAAAAGAGGCAAAAGACAAGCCCTGCCCTCAAGGATCTTACGATCAATCGGGAGAGACACACCAACAGCAATGTACAAACAATCAATAAACAGGATAAATTGGAAATAATCAACACAGGGAAAGCATTAGAATTAAGGGGGATCCCTAAGGGCTTCCTGTAGAAAGTGGGATTTTAACTGGGACTTAAGAAAGTTATTAAAGTTTAAGACTGCGCTAAGCCTGTTTTTTAAACGAATTTTTATTCATGTCTTTGGGAGACTAGGTTTTTTTTCTTTTTGTTTCTACATCACTAAAATTTCTCCCCCTGTTACCTCTCAGAGAGCTATCCAGTATAGAATTCATTGTTACATCAAGTTACTGATGCACTAAGTTAACTATGTAGGGAGGTTAGAATATTTTTAAATATAAGCAATCCAAATGAAAAGCTTTCTTCTTTTTTACCCTAATCCTTTTTTTCTTTTTTCTTTCTTTTTTTTTTTTTGTTTGGTCGAAATTGGCATTAGCCATAATGGCTCCCCAACAGAGATATAAATATAAAAAAAAAAAAATCTCCTTTCATTCTCAGTGAGATTGGAGCTAGAAATTTGGAGTGATGTAGAGTTTTACATTTAGGTATATATCAGATACTAGCTGTGTGACTCTGGGCATTCTGTTTGCCTCAGTTTTCTCAAATATCAAATGGGAACCATGGAGAAGGAAATGGCAAACTACTCCAGTATCTTTGCCAAGAAAACTCCATAAAAATGGAGTCGCACAGACATGACTAAACAACGTAACAACAACATTTAAGATTGCTAATATGTACACCTTATATAAGGGGAGAAACAAAAACAAAACTCAGGGGTTCTGGGTAGAAAGGATCTGTCCTCAACAGTTAGATCTTATAACACTTGTCACCCTTTCACAGTTTGTTCTAAGAAAGACAAACACAATTAAGCTGTGTCCATATTTAATTTCTCTCACAAGCTGGCAACATACATTGCATGGGAGTTACAGTCCAGAACTGACTCGATTTGGGAGTTAAGTTGCCCAATTTATATACCTTTTCAACAGGGGCTGATATCACCCCACCTCCCGACAGAGGAAATACCTCTTCTATCAGATCACCTCCCAACCATACCAGACCACTCCCAACCTTGGGCTATCTAGGCAGAAGAATCTGACTCCAACCAAGCCAGAGTGGAACACAAGGGAGCTTCCATACCTTTGATAAAATCAATTCAGGCTTGGGTTTGAGGTCTGACCAGGATAAAACCCAATGCAATCTCATTATCAGTAATGTCCTTGTGAAGAAATTTAGGGAAGGGGGCTGAGGAGTGGAGCTCTGAGTCTCCAAGATAAAAATTATTTTTCACACACTATAGCCTAAGATTGATTGCAATTGCTTAAAATGTTATTTTTATTTAAGGGATTAATTGAAACAGAGTTGGAAGGAACATCAAGGAAGAAATCTAAATTGAAAGCTTATCTTTAAGTGTATAAAATTTGCCAGGGAGTCAAACTATATAACCAACACACTATAAATTATTAAATCAATTGTCATTGACATTATCCTAATATGAATGTGATTCCTATTCATCCTAGCAGTTATATATACTTTGTAATAATGGTGATTTTTTTGGTTTGTTTTTGAAATTTACTGTCACTCAGTATAAGTACAAAAAACAAGAGATTGTTGCAATATATAAATAAAGGGACTGAATCAGTCTAGCTATTCCCATTTCATCAGTACTCTCTTCCCTCTCTGATTGGATCCTCTCCATTTAAGAAGGGGTCCCAGCACAGTCTTCTTATTTCCCACTGTAGTAGCTCTGCTTTTGGACTTCTTTGCCCTCTCCATCATGCCTCCTTTTTGGTACTTTCCACTCTCCCCTCCAGCTTTTCAGCTTCTTTTTGTGTATTGTCTTCCCTCACTAGATTGTAAGCACCTTGAAGGCTGAGACTGTCTTGCTTTTTATTTGTTTTTTTAGCCCCAGCTCAGTAGGAGCTTAATCTTGTTGTTGGGTTGTTTGTCTTTCACTTTTGAAGAGGACCAGTGACATCATAGGTGATGTCTTGACTTGTATAGGAATTGGATTTAAACGAGGCAGAGTTGCACAAAATAATCAGCCTCACTCTTCCAGAGTCATTGAAGTCCAGTGGCAGGACAAAAGTCAGGACTACTGGCAGTAGTTCAGAATACAGTGGATGACGTTGGCCTCGTGATGTCTGACCAAGCCTAAGTGCTCCACAGCACCTGCTTCAGTTGCCTTCATGGTCATTGGAACAAACTGTTCTTATCTGCCCATTCCTCCAGGGGAAGTCTTCACATGCTTGGGGTTGACATCCCTCTAACTCACTGATGGTTTGAGACCTATTAGTTGCCCTCAACCTAGTTTAGCCCGTCTGCCAAGAGAGTTTACCCAGGGTATAGTTGCTGCACACGTTATGGTTTCTTGGAGCCACATATAGAAAACCCCCACATATGGAATCTTGCATTCTCAAGGCAAGTGGGCACTTTTTCTGAAACGTAAGTGTTAAAGCATTGCCTATATCACTGAGAAGGGAAATAAAGCCAGTATATCCAGCTGAGAGATCTCACAACCAATAAATTATAATAGCAGGACTTGAATCCAGATTTTCCTGGCTCAGAGGACACTTCTCTATCCACTATATCATGCTGCCTCTTATATGAATATATGTATATTTAATTTTATAAAAAGTAGGATTAAACATGGGCAGCTAGTGGTGCAATGGATAGAGTGCCAGGCCTGGAGTCAAATATCTTCCTAAACTCAAATCTGGCCTCAGACACTTACTAGTTGTGTAACAAGTCACTTAACCCTGTTTGCCTCAGTTTCCTCAACTATAAAATGAGCTGGAGAAGGAAATGGCAAATCACTCCAGTATCTTTGCCCACAAAACCCCAAATGGGGTGACAAAGAATTGGACATGACTAAACAACAAGATTAAACATTAAACCTTGTTGAATGGATGTATAGGTTGTATTTGTTTTTCAATAATAACCTTTTTCATCTAGACAATTGTTCCATAACCTCTATCTATCCATATAACCAGATGCTGCTGAAATTTTAAATTAAAGAAAACATAACCATTTCCCAAACTTTTATGGGTTGCCTTTTTAAAGAATGATAGGGTCAATCACAAACTGAATTTACGATGTTTTAACGGCTTTTGGTAGTGCAACAAAATATGATCAAAATGAAACACTTTCCAATGTTATCAAACAAAGAAACAAAGAGTAAACAGGGTAGAAAAGAAACCTAATTGTATTTTGTTGCTGGACATGGGTTCATAGAGAAGTAAATGTGATTACATCTTTATTTCAAGACCTAAAGGATTTGTACTTTACAGAGGAGTCTTGCAGATATATAAAAAAGTCCAAATAAATGAAACTCTAATAGTGAACTACCAAGCACTCTGATGGCAATAGGAGAGATGCTTCTGAGCAGGGGGATTTTTCTGGCACCACTTAAACCACATCATGTAGATAAGTATCTGTTCACCTTTGCCGAACACTAGCCCTAAAAGTAGAGATTCCAAGTCTTCCCCACCCCACATTCACTTCTAGCAAAAGACAAAGAAGAATAATTCCCTAAAATTCTCCTTTCTTAAGAGCAATATAGAACTCCTTTTCAGAAGGCAAAACAGGTTTTTTTTTCCTTTAACAAAACAACAACAAAGATTATGTGAAATCGCAAATCATTATTACAACTTACTTTTAAAATATATGTGTGTATATGTATATATACATACACACACACACAAACACATAAAACTCAACCTGTTTTCGGTGCTGTCCTACTGCTCCATATCTCTCTGAAATTCCTTCTATACATTTTTAAAGATGCTTCAATAACTCAGTGTCTTTCTCTCTCTCTCTCTCTCTCTCAACAAATCCATACATTTACCACATCTAAAAAATGTATCCTTCTACACGTGTCTGTCCTCTAGTATCAT